GGCATTACATAACTGGTCAAACCTCCATAGTGGGGCATCCAGGGGCATAGTTTAAAGAACCCCTTCTAATAAATCTGCCAAATATTGTGTTTGTGGGATTTTGGTCTATTTGGTTTTTTCGGAAATTATAGAAAATGTTACATATTGTTAAGGCGTTGTAGGAGAGTGCTGAGTATCAGTGTTACTGTAAGTAAAAGTATCTAACCCTCTCCAGGGCCCATTTGGACTCGGACTTCGCCCAGAAAGCACATGCGTTACTTAAGGCTTGGTAGTAATGTTTTAGGTAGTAGTAGGAGTGCATAATTGGACTTTATGGGACAATACATTGTTTCTGATATATAAACTGCAATACATTATTCAGCATCGGAAGAGCTTTCCAACGATACCAAACACGACTACTTTTTGGTGAGTTTATATACTTACCCTTATTTTATACACATTTTAAGTATATTTTGCGGATATTTTAAAACAAATAAACACCTATTTTTTAATTATGTTCCATTCTGGTATGAGTGACAGTAGTTTTTATATGTCTGGTTTGTTGCCTGTATAGAAATTATGATTTTAGACACCAACATCATATCTGTAGCTTATTTAGTTCCAATTATATGCACATTTTAGATAAATTTGGCGACCATTTTTCAAAATGGCCGCCATTTGTATACCAGGTGAAAAATCAAGTGTCAACAGGGCTTAGGGTGACCAGGACGGATTAATTAGGGTATCTGGCTATATTGACTGCTTCTAACATTCCACTCCCACTAACTTGATTTCTAGGCCTCTTTTTTTATTTTTTTCCAAGTCTAATAATTGATTTGCAAAGTTTATTCTGTAACTCGGTTTAAATAGTATTAAAATTTTTGTATACTAGTTTTACTTTATAGATTCTTAAAATTAAATTTATGAGCCTTTGTGACAAAATGAATTATGTGGTAATGAAGTATGTTCCTAGGTTGAGAAAAATCGGAGTAAGATCTTTTTAATGTTTACATGTCTAAGAACATACTTAAGAGAAAATGGCTTCTAAGATGAACAACTGATACATTTTGTGTTGGGTTTCCTATCAATTCTGAAAAATAGCTTTACAACATGTGCCTCAAAAACATGATTGCCTTAGGTAACTCAACTCCGAACTGTTACTACTATGAAATATACATATTAAACTTATTTGACAAATCGAAACCCAATTTTTGTGAAAATATGTTGAATAAATCAAATCTACCTGGCGTACCACTAGACTCATTTTGTCAAGACAGCTCACATTTATGAAACTATCTTTCATTTTCCGTACAGGATTTGAGTTGGGATTCTCCATGACTAACCCTCAAGCCCTGGTATGTTGGGAAGCACAGTTTGGAGACTTCGCCAACAACGCTCAGTGCATCATTGACCAGTTCATATCAAGCGGTCAATCCAAGTGGTATCGCCAAAGTGGCTTAGTAATGTTACTGCCACATGGCTATGAAGGAATGGTCAGTTGATATATATTAATGCTATTTTTTATGAATTTAAACTATCTATGGTGAGCTATATAGCCAGAAGAGTATCTAGGAGTCTTGAAGGGGGGGGGCGGGGGCTGGTGGGACGCACGATGGTGAAGTGATGGCGATGATATGTTGTCGTTATCGTGTCTAGTGTAAATGTAGCTTTGAACTTGATTTTCAATGGTGTTTTCAATGTTTTTTTAGATACGCCCATGCTAGTAGCAGAGAGGCTTAAATGAAAAACATTCAAAAGACGTTTGACAAATTGATCTTTTAAATCATTAAATTAATGATGTTGAGTGCTTGAATGTTTATCAGATTTTTACACAGACCCTTGTATTTTTAAGGAGTGGAGGGAGTAGTTCTAATGTTCAGTGTATTAGGTAGATGACAACATGATATTAGGAAAGATTCAGTCCTCCATGATCATCCTGAATTAGTTACACAATGCAGGATTGGCGCAAACTGATAGTTATCCCATGTATGAATGACTATATTGTGATGTTATATCCCAGATTTTACTATCCTTGCATCTTGTTGGTTGGATCACTCGTGTTCCATTTAATCAGTCAATGCTATTTTAAAGAAAGTGTCCATTGGCCATTGGCTTGCAACTGAACTTTGGTCTATACATAAATATCATTAGCATCTTTTTTTCTCTGACTTCTTTACAGGGCCCAGAGCATTCCAGTGCCAGACTGGAAAGATTTTTGCAAATGTGCAATGATGACCCAGATGTCATACCGGTAAGTTTTCTGAAGCATTATTTTCAGCATGTCTTTATACCATAAGTGCTACTTTTCATATGAGTCTAATTATCATGAATAAAGCTCAGCTTCACATACTGTATGCAGCTCATAATATTTGAGTGTTGCTCAGCATCATATATTGAGTGTTGAGTGGAGCTCAGCTTAATGTATTGTGTGCAGCTCAGCTTTTTTATTTTGAGTACAGATTGAGTGCTGAGTACAGCTCATCTTCATATATTGAGTGTTGAGTGTAAGTGAGCATTATATATTGAGTGTTTAGTACAGCTCAATTTCATATATTGAGTGCAGCTCAGCTTTTTATTTTGAGTACTGTTCAGCATTGTATATTGATTGTTGAGTGCAGCTCAGCATCATATATTGAGTGTCGAGTGCAGGTCAGCTTTGTATTTTGAGAATTGCTGATCTTCATATACTGAGTGTTAAGTGCCGCTAAGCATCATATATTGATGTTAAGTGCAGCTAAGCATTATATATTGAGTGTCGAGTGCAGGTCAACTTCGTATTTTGAGTGTTGCTGATCTTCATATACTGAGTGTTAAGTGCAGCTAAGCATTATATATTGAGTGCAGCTTTATTATGGAAGCTTCATATACACCATTTTATCGGGTCTATTTTGAAACAGTGCCATCAACGTCTTTTAACCAATGGACTTCCAGCAGCCTAGCCTGAGCAGCTAGGTTACAAATAGAGCACCGCACAGCGAATAGCGCTACTAGGCCTTTGCACTGCTGCAGCAGAAACAGATATGATCTTTTGCTAACTACTATATATGTAAAAATTGAAATAGCTTTTGTAAGACTTGGACTTGATTTTAATATCAGCATTTCATTATTTTTCCGTTTCGAAGTATTTGTGCTCATTAGTAATTTAGTTTTATCATTTAATTAATCCATGATGGTAGCTATGTAGGGCGAAATTCTAGGCCTCTGGAAGTCCCCCAGTGGTAGTAGTTACCAGGTTTTCAGAAATTTTCATTTCAAATTTAACCAAAATTCGAGATTCAAGATTCCTTTATTATCATAACCAAACTGTGGCAAATGAAATTCTTTTTTTTATGGCGTATATGATTACACAATTTTTACTTGATTCATTTTTTTTTTCTTGAGTGTGTGTGTGTGTCTGTTTTTTAACAGCTTACAGCTAGTAGTCCACCAGAAATACGGATTTGAAACACTGAAGTTGGACATAATTGCAACAAAACGTTTTTCCATGAATATATATAGTTAAATTTCATCTCTACAACATACAAAAAGTTTACCAAAATACACCCATGTGAAAGGTGATTTTTATAGCAAAGAAAACTGAACTTTTTAACTGGGCTCCGCCTATGTTAATGTGTGCAGTGTCTTGGCTACCAAGCGCTTTAATTTGGTTTGCCGCTCGCGCTTCTGATTGGTTAAATTTGCCTTCAACACTCTGTGCCTACTCTGTTACTAACACTTACGTACATACGCAAGTACGCAACTTCGTACGTTACATCCCACTGAAATTGTGTTTTGTGTTGGATAGTTACCCTAATATATATGCCGAATATTTGATTAAATGCTTAGTTATATGAATATAATACAATTTAATTTTAAATATATTGATACGTACGATTAATAGACAACTGGTGAGACCTGCCCTGTGCATGACGACCAAGCTGTGACTCGGGAGTAGGAAAATGTATGCGAGATTTTCATCAATATAGTCATAGGCAAATGTTTTACAATTGTTCTATCGGTAAATTTGAAATAGGCCTACTATTCTACACTTTTCATATAAAGAAATGTTGGAAATCATGTCACAAGTTTAGGATTCGATGTCGAATTATGAGGCCTTCACCACTGGGGAATAGTTCTCAAAAATTCACTTTATATCACGTAAAATAAAAATATTATATAATGACATTCATTATCATATATTTTTCCGATAATTATTTAAGCCGCTCTAAGTTTCTCCACTGTTCTTCTTCATGTTGTTCTTTTCAAACACTATTTTGCATTCATTAATTAATATTAAATTAATAAACATAGGCACTAAGCCTAGCCTACCTACTGCAACTATAATTCAATTTTCTCAATTCAAAGCCGAAGTTAGCTGGTCCTGCCACTCTAAAGCCACCACTGGACTTTCGTCTACGATCGAATATCTTGTTATTGTGCAAGAAATCTTTTTGTTCCTACCTATTACCCAGGGCCGTCGGAATCGCACATGCACACACCGGCTGGCCGGACCACTTTTTCTCACTTTTATATGAATGTATGTATCGCATTGACTTTTTAATGTTATATAGCTAAATGAAAACCCATCATGCGCAGGTGTTTTTGTATTGCCAATGTACATTTCAACTTTTTTAACATTCTTTAATTTTTAGTAAAAAAGACAAAGATCGATTTTGAAAATATTTAGTTACGTTTGGGAATTTGGCGACATTATCATCATAGTCGCACAGAGTCGGACAATAGTTATATGATTCATGGTATCTCTTTTGTATAGAAAGTAGTATGAAACCCATAAAATATCAGTTCAGGCATTCATATATGTGTCTGTGGAAAAATAACAAATGAATAATACAAAATTAAAAGAATACAAATAAAAACATGTAAAAACACCTACACTAAGTCAAATTGGAATATTCATTGCCTGTTGGATCGCAGTTTTAGTGTTGCATGGGTTCTGAAGGCTTTCTAGTATAAACTACCCATATTTCTGATAGTTTACTGAAAAAAATATTTAAGATTTTATATTCAGTACATTGTCAAATGTCTCATATCCCAAAAAAATTATGTGCACTGAGGTGAAAAGTTTAACCTAATAATTTTGATGTTTCATGTTGTTTGTTGAATGGCCTTTATTGTTATTAGTTTAATATAACCACAACATAAGGAAGTCCTCTATTTTAACTTTTAAACTTCTGAACTATACACTAAAGTGGATCTCTCCATGGAAGTATACCTGCAGGGTCTGTCTGCCATGAATATAACAAGGATTGACTAAAAATTAATGCGTAATCGGTATAAGGCCTTCCAGAAGCAAACACAGCATATACTTATTTTTTTTTACAATTCAAGTGATAGTATAGGCCTAATTCATCTAGAGATACTTTATGTTCCAGGCTGAACTTTGCAAGAAAATGTAATTAAAATTGTACGAGCAGTAGGTTCATTAACGTGTAGGCATAAGAGGCTCATTTGCATAGCATATTGTATCCTGTGTTTTATTTATTGCATATTGTTTATACTTCATAGCTTATTACCCTCCACACAATGTAAATATAATTAAAATATGTTATAGTAATTTTTGTTTTATGTATTATACATGTGTTTGTGTTTCTTGCACTTTTGCAAGAATAAGCAACTCAATTCATCTAATCTAGTTATGGCAATGATAAATTAAATTTTAACAATATTATTTTCTACAGCTTTTAATCCAGCTGCTATTTCCAGGTGCCACATTTCTAACATATAGTCTATCCATGCTAAATTTATATATTGTGGCTGCCCCTTGAGGGGAAGGGATAGTGGCTCTAGGTTAGCATCTATTTTCGGACATTCATAGGTGCCAAACAAATTGTTTATCAACCATGGTGGGGCTAGAGTGGATATACTCCCAGACCTTGCTAACTTCAAAATCCTGTATCCATGAATAGAGATAGCAGGTCTCCATTCTTCAGTTACTACCTAATTTGTCAATCCCCCTGCCCCTCCCCTCCATGCTCTCCCCTCCCCTCCATGCCACTTGCTCAATGCTTCCGATGGCTATGTTACCACGTTATAAATCGAACGGATATTTTCCGATAGCCTCCCCGAGTCTCCCTAAAGTTGTCAACAATTTCTCAAATATAAAAAGGTTTAGGAACTGAAATTTTCATTAATATATTAGGCATGCATGACATGTGGTCTACTGTTATACAGTCTTAATTGTCTATGTATTTTGGGCCACCCAAGTATGTTAATGTATCTGATGTTTATCGAAAAACAATGAATAAGATAAGCATTAACAATTAAGACCCAAGCAACTTTCATAAATAGAACTGCTCTGGCATGATTCCAGATAATGTCCAATCATTATAGCTCTGTAATTCCTGCAAAACCGGAGTAATAGTCCTCCCGAATCTCCCGAAGCAAATCTCGCATGCGGGTCTCTCTTTTCCGGCAACAAACAAATGACCTACATTGACCTAACAATTGATCAATCATAAATAAGACTTTTTTGAAAACCAGAGTATGTATCGTGTAGAAGTCTACTGATAAACAATGCTACAATTTTGGTTATAAAAATCACCTTTGTGTTGGTCCTACTTCGGTAAACTTTTAGTATGTTGTCACATAATTAGGTTTATATTTAGATCATAAAATGATTTGTTGCAATTTGTCCAATGGATCCATATTTCTGGTAGACTATAGAAAGTATTCAATCTATATTTCAAGCAGAGGTTGAATTTTCTTTTTATATTTTATTTAAATTTTAAATAAATTAATGTTATCTGACAAGATGAATATTTGAAGTTTGAAGAGAATTTTGATGTCTTGCAGATGTAAAATTATTACTATTATCATTGTTGTTATATTACTATGCACACATAATCTAACATGCTATGTACACATTCATTGATACAATTTCTGTTTGCTTCCAATGGAGACATAACTGTTAATCTTGATAATTCATGTTCTTTATTTATACATGATGTTTTTCGATATTGTCGTTATATGAGGTGTATCATAATAACTCAACAAGCGATCTCAATAATGAAAGCGCCCTCACACAGCAGTATGCACCGAAGGTAATGGGATGTCCAGTAGATGCATTAGAACTGGCTGCATGCTTATAGTGAGGGTCCATATTCATGAAAGTGGACTAAAGTCAAAGCCTATTTACACAGTGCAACAGCATCATGTGATACCAGCAGAAAATTTCTATATAATTTTTTACATTGATCGACATCGTACGTGACGGCAACAGCGTAGCAAAGTGACGTATCACTTAGCATAAGCTCATCTTCTGTTACCAAAAACTGTCACACAACCAAATAATATTCTGACCAGTTGGTGACTCTGGTTACCCTTCGCTAAGCATGCAGAATGCAGAAAAAACTGCTAACAATGCGTGCATAACACCTGTTGTAAGGCTGTGTATTTGCCAATGTCGCTGTCACCTACTGATGTTGTGTTCTGTGTAAATAGACAGTCTGGTAGTTGGTCCTGAACTGAAGTTAGTCTGCTTTTAAAGAATACGGGCCAAAGATTGCCTTTTAAATTAATGTTTGTGAAGAGAAATTACCTTCCTGATAATATTGCTGTGATTTAAGTTCAGGTCTTTCCATAAATTAGTGGGTAGTACTTCTTTATTTTAGTTTACACGTGTATTTGCGTACATAGAACATAGAATCCTCAGCAGGCAGGAGATCCCAAAAAAGGGCGCACAAGTGGGTATAGTTCACAATGCTAATATACAAAGGAATTATTATCATTAAAACTGACAAAGGAAATGGAGTTGTCGTGATTAATAGAGATGATTACCATTCCGGTATTCTTGAAATCATTAATGACCACACTAAATTTACTATACTAAAAGCAAACCCTACAATGGTGCAACTGCTACTAATTATAGTCGTTGGTCGGTATAGCTTCGTTAAAGGAAGTTTATCCCCTGTACTCACATTTTAATGGTGAATTCACTCCATTTTATGAATTGTAGGGTATATTTGGCCTATACGTTTATTCTTTTGTAAAATTTTTATGATGCATGAGATAATACAACGTAGGCGTAAGATGTGAAAAGTAGAGGCTCATGCGCGAGATTCGCACATTATGCGTGAGAGTTGGCAGGTATACAAATACAGTTCTCATTGAGAGGATAAGGGAAAAATTTGGTGACAATAAAATTAAACACAGGCTGTGCCCACTGATGCCACCCTAAAGCACTGTTAATACTATTAGGTTATATGTGACAGATACATGTGACTTGCCCATATATGGATATGATATGATATCATCGTGCCCTTATATGGTTGTGATATAACATCACCATGTCCATATATGAATGTGATATGACATCACGCCCATATATGGGTGTGATTTGCCATCATCATGCCATATATGGGCAAATCACACAGATTGGTCAATTGAAACATAATGTTAACAGAGCTTGATTTCAAATGTCTTGCATCCACTGCATTCTCTAAAGAACAGGTCAAAATTAACCAGTGTATTTTTACCCCTTTCCCCCTCTTGATATACTACGCTTTAAGTTGTTTTTTGCTTTGCTCTTTATCTAGCAATAAATAATCATTGCTGGGGTTGTAAACGATACATAAAACTAAATGAATTATCATTGTGTATCGTTTACACAATTATACACAATAAATTATCATTGTGTGTACAATACACAATGATAATTTATTTAGTTTTGGAAAATTGATGTACCAAAATTCTATTTGCTGTACAGTACTTAAACTCCTCATGACATTTGACTATTTTTGCTGTGTGATTCATGTATTCATATTCCAATTTAATATTTAATTTTAGATTGTGTTTTATTGTATCAAGCATGTAAAAATGAGTGATACTTAATGTATGATTTTGAAGAAATTTTAAGTTATTTCCACACTATCAAATTTTATGTGTCAAACAAATGACATTTAAGTGTAATATGACATTATCATGCCCGTATATGGGTACATCTCACCAATTTCTCAAATAAAATTTGATAGTGGGGATAGAGCATTACATTTACAAATAGCTTGTGATTATTTATGTCTTGTGTGTGTTGTGGTCAGGTATTTTTTTTAAATATCTGGTTGTGTTTTTGAATAATTTCTTTATTTTAGACGCTGGTTGCTCTGTATTGAAATGTGTTCAGCAAAACTGTAGTCCATATGAATTTGGTATCACCAGTTTATTATTAGGATGAAAATTCTAGATATGTGTGACACTATACGCTCCCCAAACCCTGTGTGTTCCCCTTTATACCACTTCACTCATAACGTTGCTACAACTAGTTTGATATGATGATGGATTCTCAATTTCCAACTACTGTTTCTAATTATTATTATAATTTTGATTTATGTATAATTAGTGTTATTATTATTATTATGAATATTGTTAATTTTATTATTAGTTGTTATTAATATATAAACAGTTATTTTATTAAAAATTATTGTTTTATGTCATAATTATAATACAGGTGACTTTAAATTGGTTGTATTTACCATGTTATGCTTTTTTTATGATTTTCATCCACTATTTAGGCTAGACTTTCTTTTACCTTGCAGCCTGCATATAATTATGATTTCAAAAAAAACATTTATTTTTTGGCATGTTAGCTACCATCAATTTAAAGAAATGGAAATTTCAGAAAAAAAAAAACAAAAAAAAAAACACAAAAAAAAAAACATTTTTTACAATTCAAGAACTATACATTTATCAATCTAATTAAAGTACTGAATTATTTATTTATTTGCAACATTACTTTATATGCCATGCAATAGTATCTTGAGCATTTTTAACCTCACACCACAATTAATTTTTTCTGCTTTTGCAGTAGTATGAGAAAAAAAAAATTACTTTTCTTTTGTTGTTTCTGTTCCTAAACAATGTATATAAAAGTTTAGCCTCATCTTTTCACATGTATTTATAATAACTTATTGTTTGCATCTTCGCATAGACTCTGGATGAGAAGTTCGCAATTGATCAACTGCATGATTGTAACTGGCAGATTGTCAACTGCAGCACGCCAGCTAACTACTTCCACGTTCTACGACGACAGATCGCAATGTCTTTCAGAAAACCAGTAAGGTTATTTTGTTTCGAAACTATACATTGGCTGGTATCCAATATTTTGAAAGGGAAGTCTTTAAATTAGAAAGGAACTGAATTGTTTGTTACCAAAAAGCCAACTCCGTGTTTGACGCAGACTGATGCGATTTGCTGTCACGTTGGATCTGTGTGGGCTTAACACAGACGCGATAGGTCTACATCGGGGGCGGTTACATCTTGATTATTAAACATGTTTAATATTCTTAACTCTAAAGACTGTCCCCGATGATAAATTAATTGGGCTGCGTGGTACGACGACGCTCTCAGGATAGGCCTTTCCGGAATGTCAATCATTCCTAACAACTGACCAATCAGAACAGCGCAGGAATACGTGCACGTCCCACAAACACACGTGTTGTCCCACTAGCGCATGTGTTTGTGTATGTTTACTGTTGTTTTATGGGACCCTAGCAACAATATCCAAGGGGTGGAGCCTAGCTTAGCGGAAAGGTTGATTGGCCTTAAAGTTGATATAATATTTGGTCAATTTTTACTGACCAATTCAATATTTTAATGTTTTTGGTTTTTTTTTGTAGACAAAAACATCTGTTTTCAGTATTTAAAATTTTGTCAGTGTGTTATGTTGAATATTGATTTTCTTTCTTCTTTCCTTTTCTATTTCTTTCTGTCTTTGTAGCTTATTATAATGACACCGAAGAGTCTGCTTCGTCTGCCTGAGGCTCGATCTTCTTTTGATGAGATGGTGGAAGGTAAGTCTAATTCTTTGTATTGTAACTTGATTGAGTTGATGCCATAACCTAGCCAGATGCTAAGGAAATAATTTTGTATTTTTGCATCAAAAATGGCAACTGAGGCAAGAGCATAGATGTATTATAACAACTAGAGTGCTAACTAGGCGACCAAGCAGTATAGGGTTGTGTATGTGTACTTAACAAGATGACCACATTCAGGTGTAGTATATATATTACAACCTTAAATAATTATTTCATTAATAATGTTAATAAATTATTATACTAGCCTTACCTAGCCAGGAACAGGCCAAGTAGAGGATATGATTTAAAAATATAGTACTGACGAATGAGAATTGAAATTATGTCAGCTACACCGCAACTCCAAGTTTTAAACATACGGGGAACTTAGCTGTACTCAGAACTTTTATATTAAATGAAGGGCGCTATTGAAAATGATGCTTGGGCATATTTTGGTTGACCGGATATACGGCAGCCATCTTGCTGAGTGAACACACACAGCTCTGCGTTTTTTAGGACATAGAATGCATTGGAGTTAGTGCTCTAGTATTCATATTATAACACTGGATAAGAGTGGCTGGTGCAGTATTGCATTACTTTGGTGTTGTTGCATAATCAACATATTTTTTTATAGTGCTTACCTTCGAATGCACATCATTGTTTTTCTATTTAATAAACTTTTAATCACACATAGCATATTATTTTAAGCTTCTTTTTTAGATCAAAAACACATTGGAATCGGCATTCTTGCATTGTTGTAACCCTATGTGAAATAGTACTCTTAAAGAACTGTTCATGCTAATGTTTTTCCTTTTCTCTTTATTGAATAAACACTCTTGTTTGTAATAGCGGCACGCATAATTAGTGCATCCAAAGTAACAAAACATTGATATGAAAATATAGATTTTATTATTTCATAATGAATGGATGTTTTTGGCATAGTAAACAGATGAATAATATTTCATAAGGCTCATGGAAGTTGATTTTATTTATTTTATTTTTTTCATTTTAAATTTTAATTAAATGCTATCAACTTCTTATACTTAACTCATTTGCTTTCAAGGTAATCAATCTAAATAATTAAATTTTCTTTTTCTAATTTTTTTTTTTAGCCTACCACATGTAATACATATGTTAACAAATTTTTATTTATTCTTGATAGGAACCTCTTTCCAACGTCTTCTACCAGAGACCGGATTAGCATCCAAGAATCCAGATGCTGTAAAAAATCTAATATTTTGTTCCGGGCGTGTGTATTTCAACCTGATTAAAGAAAGGGAAACCAAAGGTTTAAATGAACAAGTAGCGATAGCTACAATTGAGCAGGTAATTATACTCTTTATAGCTTTCAGTTTTTTATGGAAATCACTTGTTAATTCCACTACCAAGTTTAGGTTGCAAATGTATTGGAGACAGTTGTAGAGAAGTAGTAATTATTTATGAGAGTAGAAATAAATTTATATTATTAGAAATTGTGCAAGGGTATGTGATTGAGGAAAGCTTCAAAGCTAGAAGTGAATTTTAAAGAGCGAGCAAGCAATTAAGGAAATTCAGATAAGTTAACCTCCTGAAGGCTGAGTTTGGAGTTGAAATTTAGTGTTCTGTCCACACTATCAAATTGTATGTGAAACATTGTGTGCTTATGCCCATATATGGGCAAAATAGTATAATATTACACCCAAAATATGTGAGGTCTCACCACAAAATGAGATGCATCTTTGGTGAAATCATATTGAGATATTCACCAAAACAGGCCAAAGCCAACATTTTTACAAAATTTTGATTTTAATTTTTTTTGAATAACTTGATACTTATTATGATTGTATACTTTGTAAGTGAATTTTCTTGCCAAAACCGTGTTCTCTGCATATATTCTGTAATCCTAGTCATATTATTTTGTACAGGTTAGTTTATCTTTGAGGCCGATTTTCTCAAAACGTGGTTCTTATACACCTAAACCTTGATTGACAGTTGCTATCCTGAATATACTTAAGCATCTATTGTCAATATTGTTAATCTGATGGGGCAAAAGAATTTGAAAACTTGTATGTACCTTGGTTGTTGTATTAGAATTCAGCCTTTCTATAATTTTCCAATTTCAATACAGATATTCTTATGGTAATGCATAAACAATATTTTTAAAATATATATTTAAAAAATGAGATAAAAAATTGATAAAATATAACCTTGATTTGATGGATGAAATATATTTCAGTTTATTCTCTAGTATTCCCATGGAGGTATTAGAGAAGGAGATCACTCGAAAACACGCAGCACTATGAAAATGAGCCTAGGACAAAGCTCCCGCAGCGCGTAAAGGACGTTTGCGCGATGCCTTTGAAGTCCAAATGCTTTAAGGCTTAGTTTACCAAAAAACTGAACATGGCGAAATGGAGAGCACCTTCCTTTTTCCTTTCTCCTTTCTCAATGCGCACTACTTACAGTCAATCACTATGGCTGCGTAATCATTTCCACCTTGAATCTAATACATTTATCTTTCATTTAAAAGTAAGGTATAGTATGGTACTATTTGAAAATTCAATCCAAAGTCAGAGTAATTTTCAGTTTTACACTGCCTTTGCTTTATAGAGCAATCAATCAATCTTTAGACAAAATTACAATAAACACAGAATTAGTTGTAAAAGAAATATTTTGTGGAATCTGTTTCTGCAATATACACATAATAACATACTAAAAGTCCGAAAAAATCAAATCAGGGGAACATTTTTAATTTTAAAGATATTTAATGAGTTAAAATCAAACAGTTTATCGCACAACTGTCGCATTGAAGCGTATAAAAGTAGGTCGCCGCCAAGTTGTTGCTAACGAAAAAAATGATAATTAAATGATACGCCCGTGTCTGATCCATAGGCGAGGAACACATTGGTTTGTTGCATCAAAGAGATGCGTTGCCGAGTGATCTCCACCTCAATAATACCTCCATGGTATTATGGTGATGTAGTGTTTATTCTATTTATTCCTTAACCTATAAATGCCAGTTTGAGGAGCACATACTATAAATCATGTCGGAATGCTATTGATTTTAGCTATGTTCTTCTCTCTGTTGCTAGTCTTGTTGCTAAACATGTTTTATGAGCTTTCAACAACAGTTAATGCGAGCTTTTTCAGATGCTTCACTTTATGTATTTATTTATCTTTGAGCTAACAATAATATTAGAAGAATGATCAAATATTTAATTATGCAGTTCTTCCTCCAATTAAAGAGTTTGGAAAATTGGGTTAGGAGTTGAAATTTAAACTTGAGACTGATATCATATTACACCTAAATAATGGACATATCACAGTTATTTGTCACTTAAAATTTGATACTGTCGGTTAGGTCAAACAAGTCGGACAGTCGTTGCTAATCTTGTTTTATGAGCTTTCAATAACAGTTATCGTCAGCTTTATCAGATGTTTTAGATGTATTTATATATCATTAAAGAGCTAACAATAATATTAGAAGAATGATCGAATATTTAATTAATGCAGTTCTCCCGATTTCAGACCACTTTTGAGACTGGGGTTTCCATTGACTTTAGCAGCTTTGGTTAAATTTGGGACAACAAAAAAGTGGTCTTTAATTGGATGTGGTCTTTAATTAGAGGGAAACTTTGAAATAATGACAGTGGTTATAAATTTATATCGCTACAATTTCAACAATGATCCAAGGTGCAGTTTATTATTTTTTAAACGGGTAATATAATATAATAATTGTCTTTTCTTATTGGTTAGATATCGCCATTCCCCTATGATATGGTGACGGAAGAGGCCAACAAGTATCCAAATGCCAGGATCATCTGGGCACAAGAGGAACACAAGAACATGGGTGCCTGGTCATACGTCCAGCCACGTATACATACTGCACTACAGAGGGAACGTCTCTGCAGGTAAGCCACAAATTGTGCATCAAATTTGCAGTCATTGCACTAGTCATTGTGCTAGAGTATGTATAACATAGATTGGACATCTGAGTGTCAGAATATTGTCTCCAGTCTTTGCAAATTCTAGATGTATTCAGAATTTGTGAAAGATCTAGCAAAATAGGCTTTGCAATTCTTGAAACAATGTGTATGACTAGAGCTACACTTGCACGTTTATCTTGCTGTGGAGTAGCCTCTCTATTAGCCTTTGATGGCTTTTGAAGCAATAAAAATTCCATTGATGACATTTTCCCCCATTTTTTTCCCCTTTTTTCCTCACAGTTTTGCTGGTCGTGGAGCACAAGCTTCAACAGCTACCGGTAACAAAAGTCTGCACTTGACTGAATTACAGAACCTCTTGGACACAGCATTCACTATTGAATAAGCCTCTTCTGTGATGTTTTCACAAGCCATCTAGCATATCCCTGACCATGTTGTTTTATCAATTAGCTGGCTGGAACTAGCTGGAACTGGTTTCATCTGGAATTGCTCATGTGGTACAAGATACTTAGTACTTTAAATTACAGTATTGTGATTTACTGAATGTTTTTTAAAAAGCAATTTTTGTTGATTATATATGTAAAAATATCCTGATTCAAAAATGTTCAGATTGGTATTACACTATATTTTTTGGCTTTAATTACTCATTAAACATATTTTCTTGTATTTTTGTGTGCGGTATATTATATTGTATTCACAACAACGTTAAGTGACTTGAAATTAGGGTGAATTTATTGTAGATAAAATAATTCTACAGTTTGTGTAGATTGGTTGTGAAAGCATCAATGCACATTTGATTTTGTGCCTTTAAAAATATTTAAATAAAAACAAAAAATAACATTGAAAATGCATTTTAAACAATTGTAGAAAAAAGTAGATTCATTCTTTATGAAAATGTTATTTTCTTTCGTAGATGTTATTAAATAATAAGATTCACATTGATTGTTATTTCTTCTCATTCATGCGATTTTGTAGCAATGCAAGTGTGAATATAGACGGTAGCTATTAATGCTTATTGTATGTATGAGGTTGAAATCTTCTGTTATTATTGATGAAATAAATCGCAAAGTTTAAGATTACATGTTAGTTTTAGTTTGTTTTTATTGTATCCTGTGCATTTAATTTAAAGACAGTTGCAGCACCAGAAATTCCTTAATGAGAGGTTCAAGTTCACCTCAGGACATTCATTGGCAAAATAGCAGCATGCAGAACACGTTGGACGTCATCCATCCATGATTGAAAATTCGTATTTAAATGAAAATTTAACAAAAAACAATACAATTTTTCTGTTTATTCGAGCAAATACAGTAGGCCTATTTATATATATATTTATATTAATTTTATTTTTATATTTATGGATTTACTGTATATATTTATATTTTTAAAAATTAAGAAAATACATGGCGGTTTATTGCCATAAATCCCGAATGATGTGTCATTGTTCATATTTTACCATCTCTGCTCTTTTTACAGATACACTTTAAAATAAATTACTGACTCGGCAAATTAGACCTTAAGTAATACAGTATAGACATTAAAGTAATTATATAACTTCCTTTTACATTTATTAAGTTGAGCAGAAAGCCATGCAATGTGACTTTTGGCATTAAAAGAAATATGGCATTGGTTATGTCCGAACAATAAAAAGGGACTTACAAGGCCGTAGGAAGCGGTCTGGTTTTGGCCAGACCAATAATTTCATTAATTAATATCATTTGTGTGCCAAAATTACAGTATGGCTTGACTCGACACATACCCCCACAATTACACCCACACACGGAAATGATATTTTAAATGTTATATGAAATTGACTACCAGGCAAGTGAAAAAAATGAGTTTCAAACTGTTTGCCATTTTTGGACTTTTCGAACAGTCCTTTCTAAAGAGTAATTGTACTGAAGTTCTTGGAAATTTCAGAAACTTGCATTAATTTGCACAGACTGACGTGTCTTTTTCGAAAGATAACGTAACACCACCGTACATTGTACAATCAAAAAACAAATTGCATTTCATGACATACATTTTTAAATAGAGTTCGCTCTCCAATTCGGGACCACCCCTGGGACCTGGGGCTTGGGGTAGTCTACTAGGGGGTTGGGTCTCCAATTATTGGGTTAGCTTTGTTTAAAAGGATTATTCATTTTTGTATGGTTCTGAAAAAGTGGTCTCGAATTAGAGAGGTCTCGAATTCGAGACTACTTTTTCAGAACCAAATAAAATGATAATCTTTTAACTAAAATCTAATCCTCTAATCCGAAACCGGGCATCTAATGTGTCTAATGTAAATAAAAAAATTTCCCCACTATAGTTAAATCTGAGGTGGATAGGAGATTTCTGGCGGACACAGGTATAACATCCCTCTTCGAGTAGAGAGAGTGTTGGAGATAGTTGGCTAGGAGGGGGAGAGGTCCTCTAAGTAGTTACAAGGCTTATGGACAAAAACATTACTTGGAACATCAATATATTTTTCCACCATTTTGCAATAAATAGCCTGCACTGTATTTCACATAAAATAATATACAAATTGCTTGATTTGGTCAAGGAATAATAATAACTTCTGTGTTTAGCTATTAATGCCGGATTCAAAGTCCACCCCACCCCCTTGAGTCAAAGTAAAAAATAATGGAGAAAAAAAAGAAAATTGTATAAAAATTTAAGTCTGAGTGCCATTTCATGGCCATCTAGAGAGGTGCCATAATCATTACAGGGGCGGATCCAGAGGTGTCCGAAAGGGGGTGGGGGCTAAAAGGGAGAACATAGTAACCATGACAAAAGTCTGGAGTATTAGTTGACTGTACAGTGAAATTACGAGGGGCGTTTACTTGAGTAGACCTATATACGTATCCTTTTTATACCAAAAATACCTCCATCGAATAAATGGCCCCTCAAAAATCCTCAGCAATAAACACGGTATATAGGGCCTATTATGACTATATGATGGCCCTACAACAATTTTTTTTTTTTTGTTTTTTTTTTGTAAATTTGATAATCTGAACAGTCAAGCTTTACATTACGCAACAGAAATGTGGACAGAATGTCACTTGTGTCTCACCTCATTTTGTAGTATTGAGAAAATAAAGTTTTCCCAGCTGTACCGTAAATAATCGAATAAGCGCCGCTAATCGAATAAACGCCGCACCAAACGTGATTTTTTTCGCTAAGCGCCGCGGCGCTTATTCGAGTTAATAAGCGCCTGTGTGTGCAATAATGAAACACTTTAGAAACAGGGTAATAAACCCAGATAGCAAACGTTATTATTATATTAACGTTGATTTTTACGTTTACCGCATACGTTGATTAAACGTTGTAAAGCTAACGTTGCACTAACGTTGTTTTGCTTATTACAATAACGTTTCCACAACGTTATATTTTCGTTAACTATAAACGTTATTCTAACGTTAAATTAACGTTGGTGTTTGAACGTTGGTTTAATGTTACCACTTTAACGTTTTCTCAACGGCAATCTACTTATGTTTACACAACGTCAAATTTTGGTTACTGTAAAATGAACTGTAAAATAACATTATTTTAACAATACAGTAACGTTGGTATTTGAACGTTAAGTTAACGTTACCACTCTATCGTTGCACTAACGTTATATTGCTCATTACAATAACGTTTCTACAACGTAATATATTGGTTAGCAATAAACGTTATTCTAATGTTTCATTAATGTTGGTATTTGAACGTTGGTTTGGCGCTACCAATCTAACGTATTTTCTACGTTAATCTACTCGTGTTTGAACGTTATTTATTTAGTTACTATTAAACAGAGAATTAACGGCATTCTAACATTACATCAACGTTGGCGTTTGAATGTTAGTTTACCGTTGCCAACCTAACTTCTTTTAAACGTTCATATATATAACGCTCTTCTAACGTCACATTAACGTTAGTGTGTTTGAACAGTTAGTTTAACGTTACCAACCTAACGTTAATATGTTTGTTAAATTAATATTACCACAACTTTAAATTGCGGTTACTATTAAACGGTGCAATAACACTATTCTAACGTCAAATTAACGTTGGTGTTTGAACGGTCAGTTTAACGTTACCAACCTAACATTGTTTGAACGTAATATGTTTGTTATATTAACGTTGACACAACGTTAAATTTTCGTCACTATAAAACGGTACAATAACGCTATTCTAACGTCATATTAACGTTTATGTTTAAGTGTTAATTAACCTTTACAAACCAAACGTTTTTTCAACGTTGATATGCTAAGGTAACCTAATTTTAACGTTGCATGTTGGTTAACATTAACAATGAAATAATTCTAATTTTACGTTATATTAAAAATTAGGAAAGACAATAGGAATTCATACTAAAATCTCGGGATTTTCTTCAATTTTTATTTCCTTTGCAAAGAATAGTAAAAATAGGCTCCTTTTAGGAACACAGCAGAGCTAGGTCAAAATCACTGTTATCGGACAAGTGCTATAAAACATTGGTCATCTGTCAACACATTGTACTTGGCGTGTTAAATGAAAATAAATAATTAATGAAGTAAACTTTAACACATGTTATTTTACGAAGGAATTTTCAAAACTTGATTCCAATTTACACAGGAATTTGCACTTCCACTGCATGGAGTGTAACTCCAGCTTTCATATCATGTTCATAATATTATGATCATTAATTTATCATTACAGAGTTCTTGCTGTCTCACCTTTATGAGCTACTATTTTATAAATTCATTCACTTGTCAATATAGTGACATACGAAATGGAATTTTTGCCCTCATCTTTTCCGCTGCAAATTTCAGCCATTACTATCTTTTCAATTTCCGCATCTGTAGCCTTGGCTGTCAGGGCGTTTTTACGGTTAGCACCTAGAAAAAATGTAGTTTTAGTAATTATTTTATAGTTACTGAAGTTTAGACATAATATTTAGATTTAAATAATATAAAAGTTACTGTCCAATAAAGCAAATGGGAACATGTTTGCAAACATGCAACAATTAAATAAAGTCCCTTTTGACTATTCACGGTGCTCTTTGTACATTTTTATTTTGTTCAATATAACTTGCTGTAAATGTGTGGAAATAAAAAGTGATTTGAATTGATATTGAATTGAAGGATGGCAGTTGAATTATGAATAATTTATGACAATCCTGTTTTAATTACTATTACCTGTATGTAGGCTTTAGATCAATTAACAAGGAGAAAGGAGAACTTTTGTATTCTTTATTATAAGGTTTCTACATATTTTATCATTTTATGATTTCCTACTACAGTAGTACTACATATTTAATTATAACACTGTAGCCTCGGATTCAATAACATACATAAATAAAAACAGAAGTCGCTTTAAAGGTCAAATTACCGCGGTCACACTAGAAGATAGCGAAACATTAGTGTTACTACTGTATAACATTCCGCTTCGAGGCCCATACCTTTCACAGAAACATAACAAGTTATTATTAATATTATTGCAATTATTGATATTACAACAAGGCTACTACTACCACAATTAATAATTCAGACTTCTCAAGTTACTAAAATGCATTTCCGTAACCATGCCTTCTAGTTTCCGTAGTAAATGAAAAATCCCGTAGCACCTCAGTGGCGGATCCAAGGGGTGGGGGTTCAAGGGGTTCGGACGAACCCCCCTCTGTGAAGAAACGTAACAAAATAATCTTGGCTTAAAAGGCATTAGGCCTACCAACCGTTTCGCATCGTGCGAGACGATCCCGCATTTTAAAGTGATTTTGGATGTAACACGCATTTGGCAGAAACACATGCGTTATCTTAAATTTGTCACGCATTTAGGTCTAGGCATGACGACGAATAATCACGAATTCAGGAAAAATATAATTAAAATTATAAGAATTTTTTAATTAAAAATATAAAACAATCATGCAGTAACTTGAGTCATTAGAGAGCTTTCGTTTGAGATTCAATTCACCGAAAGCTTTGGTGGCGCGTGCGGTCTTGCGCGTTCATTGTCACAACCAATGTTGATTATGTGATTGAAACTCCAGTTTTCAGCATCAAACACGCACGCAGTCAGGTAAGTACACTATTTATGCGAATTCACTGACGCGTTACTAAAAATTGATTATAAATAAAGAAAC